CCTGTAGACAAGCGGCGAGGAAGTGGCCACTCTCGTGAACGACAATGATGGCCGTCAACACAGCCGCCGCCTCGAGTACCGACTGAGCACTTCCAATATCGATTCCGGCAAAAGCCCACAGCCTGAAATCGCCGCTCCTCCGACATGGGATTTTGCTCTTTTCCCAGAAGATATGGTGTCTGTTCTTGAAACTGAGCTCCGATGACGTTAAAGAATTACATAATGAAGAAGAAGATTGGGATTTAGAGAAGTGGGTTCTGTACTTAACTGAAAAATCTGAGAAGGGTGACCTCGAATTCGCAAATTTACTGAGAGAATAAGAAGAGGAAGAGAGATTTAATAGCATGATGTTTGAAAGGTCGGTGAGGGTTATCAGGATCGACGGAGATTTAGAGAGAAATAGAGGAAGGGGGAAGAATTGGAGAAGAAATAGGTTTCGGATAACACCTTTTTCAAATTTGTGGAGGGGAATTTAGAGAGATTCATGATATTTGAGAGGCCTCACTCGCCTGCCGGTTCGAACGTGCGATCCCAAAATTCAAAAAAATTAAAAACTAACAAGGAAAAAATAAAAAAAAAAAAGATTTGAATCCGAGCCTCTTTCTAAGTTGGTCCTAATTGTTGTTTAAATATGTAACAGACCAAGCTACCGCCAGCAAATCTTACGTTCTTTTCTCTGATCGATGTGAGACCCCACCAAATCCACATTCATTCGGGGCCCAACGAGGAAGCTATTCCTCAAAGGAGAGTAGACATGAGGTGGTGTGCCAGTAAAGGAGAAACACCCACATTGATTGGAGAAGAGAACGAAACATCTCTTATAAGGGTGTGAAAATCATTCTCTAACATATGCGTTTTAAGCGCGAAAGCGAAAGAGGACAAGGGTTTTTTATTCTTGAAATGCATACTACAAGTTCTATGAACCCATAACAACAAGAAGCATAACTAAGCAGTAAATAAGAACACTTTGAGTTAAGGGTACACCTCAATAAGTGACCTTAAACCCAACTTAGAAACTATGGTGTAATCACTGAAACCTGCTTCCATAAACAGATTCTTCCATTCTTTCTCATTTCTCTCCTTGCCGTTTAGATTGACCATCATCAATACATCAAAGAACAGTTGAGTTTCAGTGGAATCCCTGTCTTCTACTTCGTTTACCAACACCATGTCTATGATGATCAATTTTCCACCTTCAGCTCTGCTTGGAATTGCATCTTTACACTTCTTCAATATCTTAATGCTTTGTTCATCATCCCAATTGTGTAACACCCACTGATTATCAAAATCCATTAATAACTTAGTGTTAAAACGAATCTAATTTGTTAATATAAGAACATTACCTTGAGCATAACAGCATTTGCGGGAGGGATTTTTGATTCAAGCATGTCTCCTCCAATAAAGCTCAAGTTTCTTACATTTGGTTGTAGGTTGGAAACCACTTGTGGGAGATCAAATACAGAGCAAGTGATGTGCGGGAAGGCCTCTGCAATAGCGTTGGCCATAACGCCTGTGCCACCACCAACATCAACCAATGACTTCAACCCTTCAAACACACCGCTACACTTCTCAATCACTATTTTACCAATCATTTCAGAATCGCAAGCCATTGTCTGTTGAAACAAATTGGCAAGACTTGGCTCCTGAGCAGCATACTCCCATACGGGCTTCCCGTTTGCCATTTCAAAGACACTGGGGTTGTGGTCATCCTCTGACCTACAAAGCCAACCGCTTAAAGCTCCCAAAGAAGCTATTGTAGTTTTATCCAAACTCAGAAACAAGAAGGGTGTGATTTGGAAAGTGGTGTGAGTGTGTGTGTCGGTGTGGCGGAGGAGAAGGCGAGAGGATGGCGTGAGGCTGTATCTCACGTCTTCTTGCTCGTCCGCATCAAAGAAGCCAGAATGGACGAGGAGGCGCATGAGGCGGCCAAGGTGTTGAGCCTTTGAAGGTTGAATATGAAGCGCCGCCACTAAATCAGAGAGGCTCATGGGTTGGGCGTGGCTATGGATAGCATCCGGTATGCCCAATTCAACAGCACATTTAAGAGACATGGAGTTGAAAATTTTCAAAACATGGTTCCAAACATGTGCTTGAGATTGAAGCAACTCATCCAGCTTCCCTTCCATCTAGATTTGGTTAATTATGTGTGGTAAGGTTCAGATATGAGGTCAGGCAACCTCGGAACCTCTATTTATGCAGAATCATCCTCCTATTTTCATATTTAAACTCTAACTAATGGTAAATTGTCATAAATTTTTTTATTTAATTTAGTAATTAAATTCATTCCAAATATATGAATATTAATTTTCTGGTTTAATTTATAACCATTTTAATTAATATCTTATTTATTTTAGTTATAAATCCTCATTTAGTAAATGTTTTTTTATTAATATTCTACCTGAATTATATGTGTACAAAGGGTGTGTCTAGAAGGTTGTTGATATCGGAACTTGATATCAAAGTTTGAGAAAGTTTGATGTGTCACATTGTATTTCTTGAGTGACACATGGGTGAGTATTTGTAATGTGACAGTGAGGCATTCCCTTGTAACAGTTTGATTATTAGTAATTGGTTGCTACCGGTAGATGTAGGGGAACTTCTTCTCTCCGAACCACGTAAATATCTTAGTGTCTCTTTGTGTAATTTCGTTCATTGGTGTTGTGAGTACATTTGTTCCGCTTTCGGCGCACAACAATCAATTGATCTAATCTCTCTAGTCTATAATTGTAAATGATTAAGAAATCTTTCAACCCATAATGCTATTTTTTTTATATCAAATTATGCATGCTACTTGTCACAATCGCACTTTTGATGGCAGCGGACTTGCGATTGTGCGGCATTCACTTTCCAACGACAAGTGAGCTAAGCTAATTCGTTCTTGCGTTGCCTACGACCAAACGACGTATGCTCGAGCCTCTGGCCTTGGTTTTAAGGGAAGGTTTTAGAAAACGAAGGTAGAGAGAGATTTTCGAAAGAAAGATTTTTTAAAGAGACGTTATATAAGCAAGTAAGAGAGAAATAACAACGGCTCACAGTGTATAAGTAGGGAGAAGCAGACAACTAATCGTATCCCCTATAGTACATTCTGAGACATTTCATGTCTGGTACGCCTAGACATGATATTTCTGAAACGTCATGCTTCTTAAAAATAGAAAAGTAAAACACTGAAATATGAAAAGATGTAAAGAGTTTGGCTGAAACGTCGTACTTCTTAGAAATACAAAAGTAAAACACTTAAATATGAAAAGACATGATTTGGCTTGTCATGAGCAATACACCTTGAACGAGCATGACCGTGACACTACTCTCTTAAATGTTAGTTAGATTACAAATATAAATACGGTTATTAGTTTTCAAATTAAAAGTTTAATTCCTCGTCTAATTACCTTGAAACAGGTGAAAGAAGAGCAAAATTTTGAGGCGAGATATTGACGCGGCTCAATCATAAAACACACAGCTAAACCATTAATAATTTCTCAAAAATGCATCCTTTTTCTCTTAATCATGTCTTTCAAATTGAGACGAGTCAATACCTTCATCCAATTTCAAAACTCATCTTCAGCCGTAAACCTCTTCATTTCATCCACGCGCCACCCTTCCTCTCGAACGCGCCGCCACTTCTCCCTCCTACAACACAACTATTAAATTTTGCGGACTCATAATTAAATTTAGTTCTTTTTTTTCCCTTTTATAAGCAAGACTTGAAAACACTTCCCTCAAAAACTGTTTGACAATTATTATGTATTCTTTTAATTAAATATATATTTTATTTTCTGGAATTACATTTTCTAAATTTTAGAAGAAAATAAAATATATATTATCACTTTATCAATAACAAACTTAATTTAATAAATAAGATATCAATTATCATTCTAACCATAAATGATTTCGATTATACAATATATTTTTATCGAATCAAATTTTATTTATACTTTAATTAAACAGTCTAAATCTATAACGTTTCGGGTTCGGGTGATGTGGGTTAGGGGAGTGGGATGGACAGCCTAGATTTCACAATAATTATGGGTGTATCTAATTTCTCGAATACTAAGTTGGAAAATTAAGCAACTTAGATGACCAAAACACACCAACTTCAACTCCAACGCCCAACGCCTTCCTCCACGTACTCAACATCTATATCAACCATATCAATCTTTTAAATTATAAATTGAAAATATTATTAACCTCTTTATCATGTTTAAACTTTAAAAATATTATATAAATTCGTTTAAATTTTAATTTTATATTTAATAAATTTTTAAATATTTTATTCTTATAGGGTAGTTAATGGGTCTTGCATTGTAACCTTAATTGAATGGTTAGATATTCAAATTTTCACGTGACAAATATTAACAAAAAAAAAATAATAATAATTTTATATAATAAACTTCCACATATATTTCAAAGCAACATATATTTTAAAGCCAAATGAAAATTAAAGGTTAACAATTTTATTTATAATTATTTTGGCTTCAAAAATAATAATAATAAAATAAAATAAAATAACTCGAAGAAATAATAAATAAAATAGAGAAAGCTCAACCTATTCTAATCAAACCATTAAATATATAAAGGTCTAATTATATTTATAAATATTATAACATTAGTGCACCAGTCACATCATAATATAAGACCTAGTTTTGGTACATTAAAATAATTATTTTTAAATATTTTTATTTCACCCTTCATAAAATTATTTAATTCTAATTAGGTAACCCAACTAATTGTGCATCAAATATTAATATACCTTTTTATCTCTCTTTTTTATTATATTTTATATTTTGTTAAAGGTCAAAATCAAATTCAAATTCAAATTAAGAAATTTTTAATATTTAATTTAGATATGGTTGAATATTCACCTCTGGTTGAAATATATATAACAAAAATTTAAAAATTTATATTTGAATATCTAAATTTGAGTATAATAATTATTTGTAATCTTTTAATTTTTAAAATGCTTATTTTAGCGTGAGAATAAATGACTAATAAAATAGTAATATTTGGCACAGAAAGTAAGGCAGGCCGTGGAAGGTAGGTGTAAAGGAGTAGATACAGCTTGTAATTTGGAAACCGACTAAAGTCGACGACCCCACAACGCCATTACTGCCCGCTCAGTACACTCTTCATCTTCAAGCCTCTGTCTCTCTCTCTGTCAATCCTCATTCCTCTGGGCCCCGTATTACCAATCTCCTTCTCAACTTCAATTTCAAGGTATTTTTCACTCCCTCCGATCGATTCGAATCCAATCGCATCGCGGTTTCTTTCTCTGTTTTTGAATTCTATTTGCGCACGTTTCGTTCGTTGAGCTTCCTCCTTCTGATTTCTTCAGTTTGATTTGATTGTTGATTGTTGATTGTTCCTTGATTTTTGGTGGACGGTTCTGTCTTGTGAAAAGCTGTATGTATATCCGATTCGATCGTTGAATACGACGTTTGCACTGTAATTTGTTGTTTTTTGGTTGATTAATTTGAATCTGGTGTCTGTTTGGTTTGATTTTTCGATTCTGAAAGGGATTTTAGGGCTTTGCTGCTCAGTTGTTTGATTAATCAAGAAAATGATTTATATCTGTTTTGCTGCCAATGCTCTGATCATCTGATGAAAGTGACTTTGATCCACTGTGATTTCTTACAAAAGGATCTTCTCGACTTTTTATTTTTTTCCTTTTCTCAATGCTTTATGGCCAGATTCTTGTGGGACAGTACATGTTTGGTTTTGTCCAAAAAACAGTATCGAAATTTGGGTTCATATAATCTATAGTTAATTTGTGAGTTTATTTTTTTTGATGTTCATTGTTTGTGAAATGGTTTTACAATAATCTATAAGATTAACAAATACACATTCTAAGATACATGAATTTCATATAATGTAAGTTCAATTTCACAAATTCAATCACAAGTCAAACGCCTCAGTTATGTTACTTCTTCGCCAAGATTGTCTTTAGTTTTGTGTCATGCTCAATAATTTCTTGAAAATGATAGTTGAAAATGGGGAGCAAAGCACCAAGCTGGGCTGATCAGTGGGGTTCGGGAGATTATGGAGTCGAAGACGATGACAACACGGCGATGACGAAGAAAGGGAGCAGCAATGGCAATAGTAGCAAGAAGATGGCAGATGTAAAGGCAGCAGCCTCAGCTGGATTTGTGAAGGCCAAGTCTGCTGCAGCAGTTGGTGCTCAAAAAGTGAAATCTGGAACTTCAGTAGGCATCAAATGGGTCAAGAATCAGTACCAGAAAAAGGTCTCCAAATGACTCAATATGCTTGAATTCTCCCTTTTGAACACTTTTTTTTTTCTTTAACATAAATTGTAGTCTGGATATTTTTGTAGTTCTGTGAAAACAAACCCAATTTCCTGCATTTTGTCGATCGAACTAGACGAGCTTCAAACGACAATTTAGACACAAACTGTTATGAATTCCCATTATTTACAACATGACTTTTGAATAGCGCAAATAGGACTGGTTTTAGTTAGTTAAAATAAAACTATACAGAAAAGCTTTGCATTTGAAGGGATAACACAGAGACAACTGATGGGGGTGAGGAGAATATACAAGAAGAAGAGCAAATATGATCCTTTCTCCTTCCCATTTTATGTAGACCTTCCAAGTCTTGTTGTGTTTCAGCACGCCCCGAACGTGTTTTCCCCGCTGTAGGTCATATACAGGAAACCATCTTCATCCTTGTTTTCCTCGTAAATTGCAGACATCATAGCAGCTGCAGACCGACCGAACAAACGTTCAGAACCAGAAAAATGATAAATGTGAAGATTATGCACAAAATATGATAAGAACACATTCCCAAAGTACAAGTTCTCACCGGTAGGGGGCAAAATATTCTTCACAAAAATGAAGATGGCCTTCTCAGGGCTGAGCTTGATCCTCTTTCGGACCACGTACACGAACTGACCCACAGTTAAATCAGCAGGGACTAAATATCTGCAATCAATAAAGACAGTAACATAACTTTCCTATAGATAACATTAACGGTTTTCTGCACCGATAGCTCATCTAGTTATCAAATCCTTGCAACGCTTCTCGATATTATCCATTTTCAGGTTCAGAAACATCGCTTTTAGACCCTCAAACAGCATCGTTCTTCTACTACACAATCTATAGTCATCTTCGCTACTCGAAACAAAAATAGAGATCTATCAATCCACGTCCCCCACTAGCCCCCACTAGCCAACATTGTTTTGAACATATTGATATTCCATTCAATCTCAATGTGGTTACATTTGATTCCTTTGAACGTGATACGGAGATTAAAATAGCTAGAACATCGTTAACCCAAGAAAACGTTCAAAAGTACAAACAACAATATAATAACTTCATATTGACCTCCGACTCAATAAGACAAGCCATACAACACTTGAAAGACCTATTCTTTATGGATAACAAACCAAACTTCCATAGAAAAAATGAAGCAATACAAGGGCGTACAAGAAACAAGCCTCAGAAAAGCAAGAGTTCAATACTAACTACAAAAAGAACTCCGTTCCAAAACAACTAGATGAATGTCATAGTTACAAAATGGTCTAGTGACCAACGCTCGAGAAACACTAAACCTCGAAAAACATTCGCAATACTGAAAACATTCATACGTCACCATCAATCTAGAACACTATAAAGAACAGCATTTCAGCATTCACAAAATTCGCTCGTTTTACTTCCCATTTGAAAGATACTTATAGATTTGGAAAGCACATCAAAGTAACAAGTTAATCCTAAATAAAATCGAAACGTCAGCTAGTAAGAAAACGGAGAGCAACTTACTTTTTCTTATCAATTTCTGGAACATCACTCTTTTCAGCCCTTTCCACAATCACCTAAACCAGTTAACCGACAGACATTAAAACAAGTACGTATTACAAGAACACTCAAACAATTGCAAGCATTCATAAATTACAAATATCATACCGGAATTCTGTCAGGATACTTCTCTCGGATCCTAGCAGATTCAACCTGCCTTCTTTCTGGAATGTTCATAATGTCAATTCAAATTTCAAGTTAATTTCTTATCTTCTCTAGAGTTTATTCGAGAGTATGAATATCAGGCCAAGGTTATTTCCATTTGATCTGGTAGATTATAATAAACATTCTATAAAAAACTCCCTCATACAGCTTGATCAATTGTTTTAATCTTTTGTTGTTCATCATGAAACATAAGTATTTGGGTTTGAATCTCATCAATCAAATTAATATACAAACCCACATGTAATGGGAAGGGTTAAGAATATATATAAAACATTACGCCTCTCCTAATTATCAATGAAAGAGAACACAGATTGATACTACAGACCCACACCAGAACACAGATTGATCCTTACATAACCAAACATCCCGATCAGAACTCAACCATTCGGTGAATCCATAATTACAAGAAACAAAAGGATAAACCCAATCATTTCGACTATAGCGTATGAGGAATTAAATGAATCAAGCGATGAAATCGAACTGCGTGTTCAAAACTACGAAAAATCCCTCAAAAGATTTGACAGAAACCACAAAATACGACCCTCGATTTGCGTAAGAAAAGAAAAAACTAACCCAGGGGATGCTCCAACTTAAACGAGCTTTTTGCCATCGAATGAAAAGCCTCCTGCAGCCAAAAGATAATCAAAGGAATAAAGAAGGAGCACAGGGGTTTTCGAAATCGGCGTGGCAACGGAATCGAATTATTGAGTACCAAATGAAAAGACACCGAGAGACGCTCTGTGATGAATGAAATCAAGACAGAATGAGAAAAATCGTTTTCAAGTTGAATATATGCAATGAATATCTACCCAGCCCCGAACACCGATCCCAATCGCTATTCCCGTAGTCGTTTTAACCTCTTACTCGGGCCCTTCTGGAATCCCCGAGCTCTCGAAATGGACCTGCACAAACTTATCTCTTCAAATGGAGATTGCCCAGTTCATGTCTTATGGGCTCTGGTGTCGAGGTGGAAGCCATGTTCGGGTCGAGCCCAAAAAATTGGAGTTTTCGGATATTTGTAGGTTAAAAAACAATATTATGACAACTAAGATAATTTTTTAATTATTAACCTTCAAGTTTATTTATTTTGTTGTCAATTTTGAATAAATATTTTTTAAAATAGTTTTTAAAATCTTATGATATGATTTCCTAAATGACTAAAAATTTAAATGTTGCTTTAATAAAGATAAATACTATTAAAAAATAAAACAAAACAAAAAATCAAATTGTAACGGTTTAAGCCAGCCTTCCCTTAAGGTTTTTAAAATGCGTCTACTCATTCCTTTCTTCAATCGTGGGAACCCAATCCATCCATCTCCGTTTAGGGGCCAATGTCCTTGCTAACACATCCCCTTGTGTCCACCCCCTTTAGGGCTTATCCTCTTCACTGGAACACAGCTCGATATTTTGTTCTAATATCATTTGTAAGGACCTAAGTCTACTGTTAGCCGATATTGTCCTCTTTTAAACTTTCCATTTCGGACTTTCCATCAAAGTTTTTAAAATGCGTCTGCGTGTAATCTCTAAAAAAAAAATGTTTGGTTCTCCTCCCCAACCGATGGGTGGGATCTCACACAAATGATTGTGAAATATACTTTAATTTCTATATTCGAAAGCCAAAAGATTTAAATTAGATACTTCCAATTTTGTAACAATTTAATTTTCTTAATTAATAATTACATTTATTCCGATCTACTAGTTACAAATTTCATTAATCTTAACAAAATTTCCCTAATCCAAACATTAAATTAAAGTATTCTATATGGAATGAATTCGTTTTCAAAACCATTTCAAATGGATTCCAAATCCAAAAGTGAAACAGCTTTAAATCATATAGAAGCAATAAATTTGTCAACAACCTTCCAATGAAATGAAAGAACCTCCATTAATGGCGTGCCTAGAATCCTTAAGCCACACGTTACCCAAAAGAAAAAAAAAAAAAACATTATAAAACACAAAAAGAAACAAGAAAGAAAGTGTGTTAATTGAATTGAGCAACGAACAAACACACAGAGAGGGTGTTCCTTCCTGAGAGTAAAGAAAGATCGACATTAATGGCGATTGAACAGAACCAAACATCCCTTTACATTCTCCATTTTCTCCCTCTGCCCATCATTTATAAATGGCCTCATTCAATGCCTCCCCACATTTGTCTCTCTGCCCCCTTTGTTTCCCCTTCTTTAATTAATATTCCAACCTCCTTCCTGCTTTGGTTGTTTGAAGCTTTAATGCTTCTTCATTAATGCATCATCCACCCTTTTCTCTCCAACTTTTTGCTCTTTTTCTTTATTTCTGGATCTTCCCTCAAGCCTTCTTAACCACTTCCTCTGTTTTCTCTTTATAAGTTTTTTTCAATCTTTGTGTATCTCTTCAAAAAGGAACAGATTTTGTGGTTTGCAGGAGTTAAATCTTTTTCCAGCACCTGCAATTCGTTTCCAACTTATTGGGGTTTTGCATTTTAGTAAGTTTTTATGGTTTTTTTGTTGATTTCAACGAGATGTTGGTTCGGTTCAATGAGAAAGCAGTGCTCTGTTTCACTTGGGTTCTTCTTTTTTATTGAGCCGTGCCAATATCACGTGTTGTATCGTCCACAATCTAAGAGTCTTATTCATAAGAGAATATGTGTTTTTTTCTTAAACTATTGAAAGTGACGAGGAAAATGACTTCAATGTTCATATGTTCCACACGATTCGGTTTGTTTTTAGTTTGATAACATGAAGTTGGGTAGAGGAATTTTGAACTTATAACCTTTGGTTCGAAAGCATATGTCTTAACTAGATGAGGTATACTCAAGTGAACCATGCTCATCTTGACATGATTTTGTCTACTTTAGAAGGTTCAAAGTCTCCGGATCTTATTAGTGAGGTTGCTAATAAGTTGAAAGACAAAGATTCTCCTTGTTCTTCTGATTATAACTTCTTGTTCGGGAGTATATGTCTTAACTAGATAAGCTATACTCAAGTCAACCATGCTCATCTCGTCGTGATTTTGTCTATTTTAGAAGGTTTAAAGACAGATACTCCCTCAAATTCTACTCGATTCTAACATGTTGTCTTGTTTTCTCTTCTATTTCCTGTTTTTATGTTTCAGTTTCTGCTCCAAAATTAGGTTCTAGTAATGCTTTAAACTGTATGAACACCATTTTTGTCTTTCAGCAGGCAAAGCAGAACTACACAAGAACATAAACTACTATTTACTACTATGGAGGGAATTTCCTTTTCATACCCAAGTTGATCTGTTTCCAAGGGTTTCTTGAGAAGAATCTACTGGAATATTGCTCTTAAAAGTATGCATTTATTATCATGTTCTTCAGGACAATGGGGAGCGCTAATAACTTACACATTGCCTCTCATAGCCACAAAGAATTTTGCTATGTTAAATCTCTATCAATCTATTAGGTATGTGAAATCTGTGTGTATTCGTACAAGATTAGCATGCTTCTATTGCAGAAAACAGCGTGAACAAACAAATTCATGATCAGTGTGGAAGAAGTCGAAGCAGTATCTCAGAAAGTGGCATTCCATAGTACATTCTCACCTTCTCCGCACCGTCGATGGACTTCCTTAATCCTATCGGCAGATCTGCAAATGCCGCTGCAACTCCAATCGAACGAAGCAACGCAAATGTTCCCCGCCTGAGCCTTCCACTCGCAATCTGCACCAGAAAACAATTTGCAAATCAACAGGGCAGGTAGAATTCTATTCGATTCTAATTATGATTCCACGCCGAAAAACACAAGGGATTGGAAGAAGCTGGGGGCCGATAAACACTGGATTTGACTTCTGAACCAATCTCAAATTCGTCTTCCATGGATAAATCCTAGCTTTTTTTCTTACCTCCAAAAATAAGCATTAAAAAAATGGCTAAATTAATAAAAATAAATTTTTTAAAAGTTTTAATAATATCTTAAAAGTCCCAAAATTACTTTGAAAAAATAATAAATAAAAAATACTCTTACCAAAAAAAAACTATTAATATGACTTTTTAAAATCTTCAAAAACACATTTAAATTTTTTTAAAAAATTTATAAATACAATTATGGTTATTACTATATTTTAAAAATACTCATAAACTTTAAAAATAAACGTTAAGCTTGGAGATAAGCTATGAAATGTTAGCGGACCGTTCTAGTCTATATATTAACATAAAATTTCAATAATGTTTTTTAGACGTAGCACCAACATCAAAGATATTTTTGAACCGTTTAAAATGTTGAACTAAAATTTAAGGATATTTTTGAAATACTATTAAAAAGTTTTAAGGATATTTTTGAACATTATTAAAAAATAAATAGTATTTTTGAAACAAAATACTTAGACTTTAATTTAAAGGTATTAGTGAAAGTTTATGAATAACTTTGAGACAGAGAACAAAATTTATGAATATTTTTATTAATTTACCAGGTGGAGTGCCACAGCAGAGTCTCCGATCATCAATATGTTCGACATTGAGACCGATAACCCATGAACCCAATGAGACGTCCTCGTTAGCATACTTGTGTAAAACATGCCTGACAGAGATAACATATAATTAATTAACAAACATTTGTGCAAATCTATAGTCTCACAATGAAAGACCATATAAGTGTTTGTCTGAAGCTCACTGGTTCATTGAAATGTAAGCACCCAAATCATTCGATATTGCATATAGTTGTCCTGTCGCATGTCGGAAATACTTGTTTCCACCTTCTCCAAACTTCCAATGTTCCGGCTCATGGTACCTCACTCCTCTGCATCACCATCATGTTCCATCCAGTTTCAGCTCAATATTGACTGCAAAAATGGAAGGGGAAGCTGAAAATGCCTCACCTTTGCGAAAGGACGGGGCCAGATTTCATGCATCCGATGTATACTCGTGGCTTGGATCGATGTCTGGCTAGTGTCTCGCCAAGCGTTCCTGTGCCAAAGGGTAGAAAGTGTTGGAGGATGAAAGTCCCACGTCGGGTAATTTAGGGAATGATCATGGATTTATAATCAAGGAATACTATCTCCATTGATATGAGGCCTTTTGGGGAAGCCCAAAGCAAAGCCACGAGAGCTTAGGCTCAAAATCGTGTTCATCTAACCGAAAAAACATGAAATTTCAATTTGATGCTACAAGTGGCCTCTGAATTAGCATACCGATGTTTACATGAACATCATCATCAACTTTGACGTAGAAGTCTGCATCCCATAGAGAAAAGGCTGTGACGAAGTATATCTTGGTTTTGGCGGATAATTCAAGGTAGCCTTCAACATGATCCTGTTCATAAAGGAGGTAAACAGTGTTGGATGAAGAAAGTCCCACGTCGGCCAATTTAAGGAATGATCATGGGTTTATAATCAAGGAATACTCTCTTCATTAGTACGAGCCCTTTTGGGGAAGCCCAAAGCAAAACCATGAGAACTTAACGCTCAAAGTAGACAATATCATACCATTGTGGAGAGTCGTGATTGTCAAACAAACAGCGGCTTTCTATGAATTCAAGAAACAATGGAAGATGGGTATAAAGTATTACCAGCCTAAGGAAATCTCCATGCTTTTTATCTTCTGCTTCAATAGCTCTGTCAAGAATGCCTCCTGGTGTAGCACTGTATAAGAATGAAAGCCATTTGAAGGAAAATAGGTATTAGCCACTCAAAGGCGTAGTGTTCTTGTTTAGATAAGATTGCTACCCATTTGACTCAAATGAGCTGTGAATCAAATTTGAGTAAATTTCCGATCGTTTTGGCTTGTTACGTATTGCCGTCAGTCTCATGATTTAGAGAGAGGTTTCCACACCCTTATAAAGAAGGTTTCCTTCTCGTTTCCAACTGTGGGATCTCACAATCCACTCCCCTGGGGGCCAGCGTTCTCACTGGCACATCGCCTAGTGTCTTATACCATTTGTAACAGCCCAAACTCACCGCTAGCAAATATTGTCCGTTTTGGCTCGTTACGTATCACTACCAGCCTCACAATTTTCAAACGCATCTGTTAGGGAGAGGTTTCCACAACTTTATAAGAAGTGGTTTGTTTCCCTCTTCAATTGATCTTGGATCTCACAATCCACCCCCTTGGAGGCCAGCATCCTTGCTGGTACACTGCCTGGTGTCTGGCTTTGATACCATTGGCAAATATTGTCCGTTTTGGCCTAATACGTATCACCGCAGCCTCACGATTTTAAAACACGTCTATTAGGGAGAGGTTTCCACACATTTATAAAGAATGCTTTGTTCCCCTCTCCAACCAATGTGAGATCTCACAATCCACTCCTTTTGAGGGCCAACGTCCTCATTGGAACACCACAAAGTGTCTGACTCTAATACCATTTGTAACAATCACGGCTTTAAAACGACAAGATCTCAGCCTAACTCAAATAGTAATAACATCAAGTATTCACAAGCCTTGGCTTCCATTAAAAGCAACCAAGCAGCAGTTTAAGTAACCAAATGCTCACTAACTTAGAGCCCATAGACAACTACAGCAGCATATACTTGTCAGAAGCTCCATCATTTTCAGAACAAGAACACTCAGATCTAGTAATTTTCTTAAGAAGATGGCAAAGTTCCCCAAAAAACTAAGCATTATTCAACGCCACCTAATTCCAACCTAACATTTAAGGGCATACGAAGAGGTATAAGAAAGCAACCTATGGCCAATGGCAAAGCGAATAATGATACCCTTTTCTTCCTCCAACTTCTTCCTTTTTTCACCTAAACAATAGAACAGATTAATACAAAGATCAGCCAAAACTAATGAACAATCATGAACGAATCCAATCCAAACCTTGAGGCATCCAGGTAGCACGAACAGAATCTCTTCTTTTTCTGCTGCTAAATGCAGTATTGATTCCTATAACCATTAAATACTTTCTTCTCCCAGTTGTATCAGTTTGCTTTGAATCTTGTGATAAAGGTGAGCTGCTTTGGATTGATTCTTGAACTGCCTTGGTTGCTGCTAACTCCATCTCTAAATTGGATATCGATTTATCTAATGTGCTGCATTTAAGCGCCATGTAAGTAAGGTATAGCTATTGTAAAACTATCCCCCACACACCATTAGAGGACTTACTGTATGGCGTTGTGTGTGTTAAAAACCTTGCCAAAGATGTCTTTTGATGAAAAATTGAGTTCATTCTGCGGAGGAGGAGGAGGAGGAGAGAATTTTAAGGCAGGTTCGTTATGGTGTTGAAGCAAGAGAAATCTGGAGATGCTTACTGTTTTTAGATCACAGCCCCTTGATACTAACTTCAATTCTTGGGCTTCTATGGACCTCGATCGAGCCATGTCTTTGTGTTCAGGAATAGTCCACATCCTGCAACAAATTTCATTGTGGTGATAACCATCTTCAAGTTCCAAAGAAAATTGATCGAACCCATCGCTAGCAGATATTGTTTGTTTTTGCCCGTTATGTATCGTTGTCAACCTCACGGTTTTAAAATGCGTCTACTAAGGAGAGGTTTCCACAATCTTATAAGAATGTTTCGTTCCCCTCTCTAACCGATGTGGGATCTCATACTCCACTCCATTGAGGCCTAGCGTCCTCGCTAACACACTGCTCAGTGTCTGACTCCGACACCATTTATAACAACTTAAGCCCACCGCTAGTAAATATGGCCCGCTTTGGTCTGTTACTTATCGCCATCAGTCTCCCGGTTCTTAAAACACGTCTATTAGGGAGAGGTTTTCACACCCTTATAAGGAATGTTTCGTTCCCTCTCCAATCAATGTGCGATCTCGCAATCCACCCCATTGAGGGCCCAACATACTCGCTGACACACTGGCGAGTGTCTTGCTCTAATACCATTTATAACCGTCCAAGCCTACTGCTAGCAGATATTGTCCGTGTTGTCCCATTACATATCGTCACCAGTCTCGTTATTTTTAAAACATGTCTGCTAGAGACAGGTTACCAGAAATGTTTCATTCCACTCTCTAATCAACGTGGGATCTCGGAAAGTTACATCTATCTCAATGCTTCAAAATGAAAAGTGAATATAGAATAGAATTCACCGCAGAATTAGAAGTGCTGGAAATTCTGTGGTGATATCAACCGCAGTCTAGCAAGTTGTTCATATATGGGAAGAGTATTGATAAATGCAATTGCTGGTAATACTAATTCCAAATCAATTGAATCAAAAAAAGAACAAGAAAAAGGAAGCAAACATGAGACCCACCAAACTCCCCATTCATTATTAGGAGAGAGAGAGAGAGAGAGAGAGAAGAAAAGAACAAGAAGAAAACAAAATCACAGAACACGCGTCCTTTTGGATCATCTGGGCAAACCAACAAACGTGGTGAAAAGAACACAATATTCCCAAACATCAGCAGAATAGTTTAAGAATCGCAGAATTGAAAAGTAAGCAGGAAATCGAGAAACAAACAAGAAACCCATTTGAGAGAGTAATAATCTGAGTTCGAAACCTGTTGGTGAAGAGCATTCCAGAGCAAAAGCTAGCCAAGCAAAGGAAGAGTGTCCATTTCCGGGATACGAGAGTTCTTGAAGAGTGATGATGATTCGCCTTGCTTTTCCCACACATTTTAGCTATCTATCTCGCAACCATGAGTACCCGAATCGAGCCAAACACCAAAAAGGGCCAAAATGGTTAAAGGAATTCGAAACAGAGGTAGAGAAGAAGGGTTTAGAGTGAAGAGTGAGAGTAATAGAAATTGTTCTTCTTCTCTCTCTAACACTGCATTTGCAGAATATGGATCGCGACTTTACAGAGAAGGCAAGTAGAATTGAACAGAGGACAGGTGAGAGATAATAAGACCGACATCGCGTCATCTTTCTCCACACTCTCAAATTACCAATCTACCCTCGTAACGAAATGGAACACCTTCATTTGGACAAATTCAATTATATTCCTAAAATTTCCTTTTTTATTTATAAACTCTTAAATTTTATCTAATAATAATTTTTATTGAAAAACTTATTAAAGTTGAAGCGTACGAATCTCGGGTTGAGAAAATTTTAAGATTTTATGCTACCCGAATTACGCTCAATTTAACAATACATTAATGAGTTAAACTTTAATTTATTAGTGTTTATACGTTGACGCAGTATAACAATCAATATGATTGGACTAATTGCCCGTAAACTCCATAAAAAATTGAAGGGTTGAGTCGGGTAATTATCTATATATAAAAAAAAAATATTTTTAATAGGTCAAAAGAGTAAAAGTTGAAAGTGTACCACTTACTTTCTTAGGACAAAAAGTTGATAGGCAATGGAAAAATGTGCCCAAATCGGAATTTTTGTTCACTGTTTTCCATTTGTTCCTTTTAATCTTTCGAGCCAATATTCCTTAAAGCATTAAAGTGAGGAATTTTCTTTATAATTTTTCAAATATTAAATTAGGATGTTATTGTCATTTTCTATTATTATATTGTTGACGGTAAAGAAAATTAAATTTTAATTTTAATATTTTACCCTAGCTTAATAATTTGAAATTTTGAGTTTGATTTAATGCATAAAAGCGTGAAAATTAGAATAAAATTGCAACTTAATTGGATAAATTCATAAACAATTTTCTTACGAATGATAATTTTCCAGTTATGCCCCTGACACTTATATCCAAACTGGCAAATGATAACAGTATGATTGCCATGTCATCACTAAAAAGTAAAAAACAATGGAGAAATTATTATTTATTTAATGTACAAAAATAATTAAAACCTCTTGAAAATAAGAGAATAAGAATATAAAAAAAGTTCAAAATAAGTATAATCACATTTGCTTTGTTCTGAAGTGAGATATTCAAATCTTTGCAACTATATTTTAATTAATGTATTAAATATAATAATAGTAATAAATTTGATGGCATTATCTTTACTTCTAAAATAATTATCCACATCCTCCACTAAATAAAAAAATAAAATAATAAAGATGATAATAATAATTAGCAAATTAGTCCCTTATGGAAGGTGACAAAAGTATGGTAGGTGGGGTTGGTAAAGGATGACATGCTTGCCCATATTGAACAGGGCGACATTTATACCTTTTGTTTTTGAAGACAAAGAGCCATTCCGCGGTAAAAATCACGAATCTCCACAATGGTATAATATTGTCCATTTTTAGCATAAACTCTCGTGACTTTACTTTAGACTTTCTCAAAATACCTCGTACCAATGAAGATAGTATTCCTCATTTATTAACCCAAACCCATGATCATTACCTAAATTAGTCAACATGGACTCACTCGCCCATCTACCCATCCTCTCACATCTACCCACCATCCTCTGACCACCTCCACTATATATGCTCATATCTCATATCGATATTATGAGTTAAAAGTGGCTTACTAGTGGGATTTAAAAGTGGCTATATTTTAAAATAAAAGTGGCTATATTTAATACCCAATGCACACCGGTAGGTGCAAGTGTAACAAGGGAAGAAAGATTAAAAGGCAAAAACAAAAGAACAATAATCCATTTTCCTTAGTCAGTAATTCCCCATAATGATCATAATAATAATATTTTTGAGACCCAAATTGATTCAAGAGACTCAGGAGAGGAGGCAATTTCAAGGGGCATACTACTCTCGTAGGATTGAAGGTTATAGGCATTGGAAACTTTCCTGTGACCCTTTTTTGTTCTACCGATGATATTCTGATATTCTGAAAAATTATGCCAAAAATTCGATCTAATAAGGTAATTGCACACCGAAGTATAGAATCGTGCAATGTGTACCATACCATAGCTCCAACAAAGAAGTAAGCGCTTTCTCCTCCAGGGAAAATGCCTGGTCTGCCAATAAGAATCGAAGCGAGGCGAATCTGGGAAACTTAAGGTATGGGTCTAAAAGTCACTAGAGCGACAATAACTGCGACTTGTGATCGATGCCATTGAATACGAAAGTTCCAGACATGGGTACAAACTGTCGGGTGATTAGCTGAAGACAAAAGAGGACCTTTTTTAATACGTCATTCTAGGAGACCGAAGCTTTCATGCAAATGTCACTTTAGGTAGGGGGTAAAATATCAAATGATAGATGAAATGGAAAAAAAAAAAAAAAAAAAAAAAAGGCCCAGAAAGTAATAACTTTACCTTGATTACTTCTTGTGATGCAATTCCACCAATGAAAGCAGCGACTGCATGGAGCTCTGCCGCACCGAATCGGCACATCTCATTAATGAGGTCCTCTGATAAAGTCAAGCCATTGCAACCCAAGTCACTGAGTAGGCCAACGGCAGTAGTTTTCAATCGAGATATGTCCTCGTCAATCCCACTGCAAGAGCATCAATTAGTTAAAAGTCTACATCATTATTAAAGAAACACATATCCCATACAAAACAGCATCAGACACACTACCCATCAAATTGCCCGGGAAAACTGTTGTAATTGGCAGCAAAACGATCAACAGCTCGAAGCAGAATATAAAATCCAACTGCCACGCTGGAAGAAGAGAAATAAATGTCAATAGAGTAGAGATTACTTATTTTTTAATATATATACTTATTCAGTTGAAGAGAAGTTCCAAGATCTTCGGTAAACAAATGCAGAGAAACGAATCCAACTATCATGTAGCAACAAAAATTGGTTTTCTCAATGAAAGCGCACTTACCCAAAAAAAAAAATAATAATAAATTGATTGCAATAATATTGGATGCATAAATAGATAATAAATTAGTAAGCAAACAACTCTCCCCGGTAAAACTGGTTGCCTGAAAGAAATTTAGCTACTGAAAAGAAACATACCAAAATCGGCACAAAGATGTTGAAAGGGCAAATACTTGTATAAAAAAACAGAGATGTAACATTATTGTCCAAATTTAAGATTGATAATAAATAGTTTTTACGCCAATAAGTAATTAAATCTATTTATTTATTTATTGCTATTAAAAATACCAAAGAAAGGATTTCTAAGAACATCGTATTTTAATACAAATGAAATTATATGATATCGTCCATTCATCATTGCACTGAATAAAGTAAAAATGTAACATCAGAAAACAAAGTAAGAAGCACGTTGACTAATTTAGTGTAACCTGAAATCCTCGTCAGTTAGATACTTCTGTAGCTCAGCGAAGATAGGAGAATTGAACTCATCCTCAAGTGAACGATATCTGCAAACCTACAAAAATTTCCCATAATCCATTAGAAAAAAAAAAACTGTATATGCACGAATTTGTAGGCATGCATGCATCCACACAAATGCCTCAGTTGAAGTAGAATAAAGTTTTTGAGAGCAACATATTCAGCCATTATGCACTACACAATCATACCACACTACATTTATCTGAGCAAAGGGAGCTTTGTACATGCGAAGGTGAATTCAAAATTCATTGGTGGATTCCTGATAGGTAGTTCTTTAATTTATCAAGAAACTAAAAAATTATTAAACAAGATAGAGAACCATTTAGACAGAGAGGAAATCTGTCCTGTGATACATCCAGAACTCCTAGGAAAAACTCAAAAAGCTCTGACCACATACGTCATGATGGCTAAATCGTAATTAGGCTCTTTAAAGGAAGATTCTTAGAATATCATGGAGAATGACAGGATTAAATTGGAAGGCCCCTGTCCTATCAACTTGGGATACCAGCAGATTGTACAAAAAGAACAATAAGTATTATAAAAATGATCATAATAGAGCATACTTTCAGCTTTCTTGCATTTTTACAGAAGCTTTTGATTGTCGTTTTAGAGATGCTATTTGGATCTCTGCCAATTTTTTTCAAAATGTTCCTTGCTCTTTCCTCTATTAGCATGAAGTCAGCCTCGGCCTTAGCTTGATAGATGTTTTGCAAATTAACATAGTGCCTACAAAAGGCAGAATCCAGCCCTTCAGTCAATAAATAAGTTAGTTAAATTTCATGGTATTTTCTAGAATATTGAGACACTCACTCAGTTGAAGATGTCATATCTGGTATTGATCCCTCCATGGGTGCCTCACCACCTCCTTCATTCGCTATGAACTCCTGCAGAGAAATTAAAGAAACATTTTAAAGGAAAATGGAGTACAACTACATCAAGTTCAGGCTACAACTTTGGAAGTAATGCTTACGATATTGTTAGAATTTCCAAATCAATACTTGCGTTAATGAACAGATAGATGACAAATAGAGGAGAGAGGGCGAGACGAAGGTCAAGGGTCAAAATAATAATGGTTAAACAGCCAAATTTTAAAAGATACTCGAGGACTTTTCAACTTACAGTCCAAAATGATTTCATTCTATACCAAAGAGAAGAATAGCAGTAACAGCAATACAATATATTTTAACACATTGTTCCTTACAATTTTTTTATCAATAAAAAAAATAACTATTAAGGTATTAGTTATTATTGGCGATATTACTAAAATCAATAAATATTAAGTATTTACTTTAGTATAATAATAATAATATATAAATTTACTATAAATTAATAATGTCAATCGCAAAATTACTTCTTTAACAATATATTTTGAAATTTTGGATGATTAAACAGAATCATATGTAATGCATGAATTACTTAAGAATTGATTGATTTAAACCACATGAATCCGTAGATATTTAGCTATTATAAAATAAAACAATGAATCAGAAGCGAAATTAAATTTACTACGGTAATTTAACAGTATGTGTTAATTCAAGTGAATCACACTTGCATTTCCTGATCCCTCAAAAGGAATAATGAGAACAAACAAGTAAATCCACAAGCAGATCCTCCAATCTAAGGATTGTTAAGAATAGATCAAGCAATATACATGCAACAAATCAATTAAATATCCAGCCATCATATGAATTAGAAGAATGTGATAGTTAAGCAAGATGGTGGTGACTGGTCATTTCTAAGAACCTCAAGTACTATATAAGTCTGATTGTCATAACTCGAAATAACACCTAAAAAGAAATCATCAATTGTTGGAGATACAGAGCTAAAGTAGTAGTGAAAAAGTTTCAGTAACCTTCAAAGCAGCCACTAATATCCAAAAATCTGATGAATTAGAATCAACTTCAGCACAGCAATCATCAACTATCTGTTTCAGATCTGGACCTGATATGAAGAAAATGATAAATAATGGTGCTCATATTTCTAGACACTAAGTAGATCTGTCACCTTATAGGAACTAAAAAATTTTATTTGAACAAAAACCTTAAAATACGCCATCAGACACTCCAATTGACAAATCTAATTTCATTAAAATTGTAGGCAGTCTCAAGATGTTAAACGTTCAACTACTATGTACAACAAGAGGTGATACTCCACAATCCTTTCCATGACATTCAGAAATAGTTGGACCACGTTAAGTGAAAACTAACTTTCAGAAGAGCTAGAGAAATTAAACTGGCAGCTCCAACTTTCAAAAAAGATCTTTTTCTTTCTTCTTTTTTTTTAACTTCCAACTTTCAATTGACACAAGAGTTTAGTTAAAAATACAAACCAGATGATGGAACTCGAGTAAGGGCAGTAATCAATATCCTGAAAAGATGTTTAAATATTTTGAATATTCTACTGTAAGAAGCTTAAAAGAGTCTCTCATAATGCACAAGAACTTCCTTTCCTTTTTTAAAAGAACAGAATCCGAGAACATGGTGTTGATATTAGTTGGAATAGATGTGAACCAATGAAAGGAATGAAAGGTTTTTCCCCCAGATTTTGCAAGCAAACAGGAAAAAGGAGAAACGGTGTGCGACACTTTTTTGCACCTGGTAGATCAATCTAGAGACAGAACCACGTGAGGATCCTTCTAGATATTGTCCTGAAACCAATGGGTTGATTGGCGGGAATAAAAAATCCTAAGGTTTCTGAAACCCGCGTTTGGGATGCAGGGTTGGTTGGGCTTCTGAAACTTGTGTTTGGAGTATAGGTTGTGTCTGGCTGGGTTTAGTTAATCTGTTTTCTTTTTGTTCTTTTAGGTCGTCTTTTTTTTCAATCTCCAGTCCTGTGATGTGATAATTTTTTTAGGTTGTTTTTCCTTCAATCTCCAAGCTAGTGAGGTTAAGGGATTGAAGTCGAGGACCTCAGAACCAACCTACTGTGGTATGGGCACAATTGATAATTCCATTGAGAATGTCAAGAATGCCACCGCTCTCAAACAATCATGGACCATCTCCATTCTCCATAATATCATGCTTGCAAGTACGCCAACATCTTTCAAACAATTCAGCAAATAACCCATCTAGACCTAGAGCTTATTCGGTCCTAAAAAATTAGCTCCAACCAAATTTCTTCTTCAGGGAAGAGGACCCTTCTAGGCATTGCTTTGAAGAAAATAGATGAAATTTCAACAAAAGACCCAGGATGTGAGACAACTCCAAAAGGGAAGACTACGAAACAAGTAGCAGCAGGTTTGTGTTCCTAGATCAATTAGTCTAAATGTTTTTAAAAAATGCCCACTTACTGATTCCATGCGGAGCAAAGACTTTGAACGAAGCTTCAATAGCTTCTCTGTAGTTATCTTCATCCATTGCAATCATCTTGGCTTTGAGGAGATCCTGCATTGTCCAAGAGCCCACAATTTTAGTGACTATCACATGTTACTGATTGCAAAAAGGCAAATAAAAGGCAACCTTGAATTCTTTCTTCTCTTCTCTGCTTGATGGTAAACTGCCACCGTGGCTTTTGGCCCACTCTTCAGCCATCTTGACAAGAATAACAACATACGGAGTGTGTTTGTGTGCAACAGGGTCAGGAATATTGAGATCAATAGTTTCAGAAAACCTGTCAAGAGGTGAGTACATGGTATATCAAAATTTGAAAGAATGAAACGTCTATGTTCTCCAATCAGTGATTGTGCTTTAATAGTAAACTTCACAGCTTAGATAGACCAAAAACTAATGCAAACAGACAATATTCACATATGAAATCCATCCTATTAAAAAGATGGAAAGGATGTGACTAAAAACTCTACCTCCTCAGCTCTGGCCATGGGTTATTTAACCGAAGATCATCCAGAAAATGATCGGGCTTTGACTCAATGACAGTATGCTCCTGATATACATGGATAAAATATCTTATTTTAGCGCCCTTGACTATATACAATATTTTATCTTTTGAAACCATCAAGTAAAAACTTATTTAAAACATTAAAACTGTTTGTGCAAGTGAACCATATTGAAATATTTGTGACAGACAAGACCCCATAAGACATTAAGTAGCTTATATATGGGACTCAAAGAAGTGACAGTTAAGCTGTTTTACGTCAGCAATTTACCATTTCAACCTGCAAACGCTTTTAATTACGAGCCTCTATTTCTCCAAGTTCAAGCTAAGCATCACAACTAGTTATTTGATATTAAGCCGGAATTCAGGTAAATATACATGATAATTGAAAAGTACAAGTTTAATAAGGGCTAGTAAAGGATCCAGATTATTCAAATATCATGTGTCAGGCATTTTTTCCGCAGAAATGGTAATATAAATACTTTGAACCCCTCTATGCATACCACATGATTATTTCTTTGAATTGGGTAATTGAAGTAGCATTAGCAATACTTTACCTTTAAACTGATTCTGACAAGCCCAGTGAGTCCGTAGGAGCGTGCAACGACCAATATGACATTTGCGTTCCTACAGATTTTATCTAGCTTCACAATCCATTCTTCAACCAACTGAATAAATTCAAAGTGTCGATTAAAAGGGCAATTCAAAGTGTCCATTAAAAGGGCAATTCGAAGTGTCCATTAAAAGGGCAATTCGAAGTGTCCATTAAAAGGGCAATTCGAAGTGTCCATTAAAAGGGCAATTCAAAGTGTCCAAATACGACTTTCTTTCCAACAAAACCTTAGAGAAAAAAAAAATTCCATACCATGACAAATTACAGAAAACAAGTAACCAAAGAAAAAACTCACTATTTAACAAAACCAAGAACAGAAAATTGGAGTTTGTGCACTTTCCGCTATTGTTGAGGCTTTCTAAGCATGCCAACTACACTAAAAAACACTTTTAACCTTTTTACCAACCATCAATTTGCTAATAAGAGATTTAACCAAAAAGCATCCCCCGTACAGGCTTGAATTTGTTATATGTTCCTTAGGTTACTAATTTTCAGGGATAAAAATATCTCCCAACAAGAACCCTTTGAGTAACATTGTTAAATCTATGACTCGAGGAATTTGGTAAGAGAGTAAGAAAAGCATCTCTTATGGAAAAACTTACCCCTGGGAAGAAAGCTTTGAGCTAATCAAGGTTCATGCAGTTTTTCAGTGTGCCTCTTCCAAAACTTTAAAAAATTATTCACTCCTTGAAACTTTTTAGTTTCTTATAAATAATAATAATTTTACCAATGCAACTAAAAATCCAAGTGATGCGAAAACAATTGCACAAAGGACATGATATAAGAGATGACAGGCAAGAGAAAAACCAAGAATTTCAGCAAAGTGGGGCAACATCAATTGAATTAAGCATGTATATCAGAGTACCTGTGTGGCAACTACTAATGTAAACTGTGAAAAGAATGATGGCCTTGTTTCAATTAATGCCTCCGGACACTCTTCTATAAACTTAGCTTTCACGGCATCATTTAGTTCTTGAAGAAATGCACATACACACTTTGCCTTTGACTGTCCAATACTAGATTCGTCCACTAGAAAAATAATCACACAAAACAAGATAAGGTTTAGTTGATAAACCATGTTTTTCTTTCCTTACAGAAGTTGTTATAGCTCAAAAGTATTGATTAGTATTGAAGTAGATTATTCAAGTACATACGGACAGCAGATTGGAAAGAAGATTCATTTTATTGTTGACAGAATGATTTTTCAAAAGATTATTATGGAAAGGCAATTCCAGAATTCTAATTGATAGTCCTCCCAAATAATCAATTTAACTTCAAATTTCAAGTTAAATTATGAGAAAATATCATTCGTAGGTCCATAGGCAATTGCCAATTACAAATCGGGCTCCATTACCAAAAGCAACAGTGACATATAACTTACTTACCCATGAAGTTGTTGCCAAGGTCGCCCTCTTCTATCTTGGTACCGTCGACTATAGTGATGCTTCCAATCCCTCCAAGTACTAGATTTTTCAATGTCTCGGAACCAGTAGGCCCGCAGTTGAGAAGGCATATACTCGCTTTTTCAAGGGCTGCCTGCCCTTGTTCACCCCAGATCCTACGATATCACGGGATAAAAGCTTTCAGAACATAAAGGTAATAAAGATGATTAAATTTAGTCGAACAAGTTTGCTAAATGATAAATTTGACCCAAAAAAGAAAGAAAGAAACACTCTAGGTAACCCATTTCTCCATAGAGATAATACTACAAGAACTAAGTTGCCGCAATGATGTGAGTAAAACCTAAGCTCCGATGTAAATTCATTACTTGTCAACTTACCGACAAACTATATATCGTCGAGCAATATATAGTTACAATAAAAGAAAATATATATATATATATATATATATATGCAATCACGAAAATTCCAGCAATTCCTATAAAGAAAAAAAATGTCAATGGTTAATCATAGCGGGAACAGCTGCTGGGTAACTACGACACCAAGAAACTAAGAAGTGCGCGAACTTTGTTTGCGCCAAATGCGGATTAGTTCATAAACATTGCGCTTCTTTTCTTTCACTGGACGAAAGAACAGATAAACCTAAAGATAAATTAGCGAGAGAAGAAGTACAGACAAATTGAAGGTGGAGTATGCTACTGGTACAGAGTTAGGGCAAAAAACGGAGCAAGAATTTAGAGGCAAAGAATCGAAATATGAAGAAGAGTTGAAGATTGAGGAATGAGGAAGGTGTGATAGAGGGAATGAGGAGGACCTGAGTTGGCGATCGTATTTTACTTTGGGCTCCGCCATTTTCTTTGCTTCGCGCGCTCTGTTCTCCCTCTCTTGTTCAAGTCTTGTTCCTCTTGTCTGAAGTCTCAATGAGCTTTCTGAATTTGCGTGGGAACGACGCAGTGAAGACTGAATAAGTTTTTTTTTATTATTATTTAATATAAACGAAATAAAACAAGGGGAACAAATACGGAGGACGACGAGGACTCTATACGTCGTCGTTTCCAATGAACTATTGCTAATTCCTTTTTTCCTATTTATTTATCACGATTTTTTTTTTTTTTATTTGCCCATTGGCAAATTTTAAGAATAATGTATTTTTTAAAAAAAATAATTAATTAATTAGCGTAGTTTTATAAAGAAAAACTCTAAAATTGGAGTCTAGAAGTAAGCTAATATCCGGTGAGTTGCACGATGTTTACGTGATATGAGATTTATATTCAAATTATTGTGTTAAATACAATTATTGTTTTAAGCTAAATTTAAAAACAAAATTCAAATGAGTATAAAATAAATATTAAGTTTAAAATATAATATATTATAAGTATTTTAAAAAATCCATATAGAAATGTTGTTTTTGCCTTTGTTTCTATTATTTAATATCTAAAAAGAATAGTAGATTAAATTACAAATTTAATTTATAAATTTGAATTAAATTTGGTAGGTTTTTTCTTTTTTTGCTCTCTCGCGAAGGGCTTTCAATTTCAAAGATCACTCAAGCCAAGACAGTAAAAAAAAAAACACTTTTTATTCAGGGTCGTCCAGATCTTTACATAAAAGAAAAAGCTTTACTAAAAATGAAGTCATAAAAGAAAAAAAAAAGGATTGGCTGATAAATAGAGCTAAGTTGATTGCCGTAGCTCTAAAGGCAAGGGGAAGGAAGACCATTCTGAAATAAAACAAAAAAAAAAAGAAAGAATTCCTATAAAGTTACAAATTTAGTGTATAACGTTTGAGATTTTTAAAAATTCATTTACAACACAAAATTGAAAACTTTGACGCAATATCTACCACTCAAAAGTGTGCATAGATATGAACATATTATTACTCAACGAAAGAATACAGATTTAAGAATAAGAAAAAGAATTGAGATCCAATGTTCAATCTTCATTGATATTCACAACCTTTAAATAGAATACAAGATACTAAATAATATATATAACGAAAATATAAACTAACTAAATCTACTACTATTCAAACTAAAATAAGTAAATTCTGACGACTTTAAATTTCAATAGACATAAAATTAAAATTTATATAAATAAATTATTTAAGATAATAAAAAAAATTTGGAAGCTTGGAATTCATTAACATTTAAGTCAAATAAATCAATTAATTAAAAAAAAGATAGAATTTGACAAGAAATTGTTTTTTATTTATTGACGTTTTAAATGAATACAGATATTTCAGATATTTCAATTTTGCTGCTCTCATTTTGTTACATTTATTAAGATTAGAAACAACAGGTTTGTTTATATATTTTGAGAAAGATTGTTGAAGGAAAATGAAACCATAGGAATTAGATTTATTATCAACTCTAGTATGGCTAGAAAACTTACCGAAAACAATGGATTTACTCAAGTCCAAACGTCAAGAATAGTTGAACTATATATCAATCAATAGTTCAATAAATAAACTACAAACTACAAATACTCTCTCAAAAGTTATGGTTCGATTCTCAATCCTATAATAGTTATTGAACGTGTAGGTTAAGTACAAAAGTCTATTTCATTTACCAAACGATATTATGGAAAAACCGACCATACATCAATGCATCAAATATTAGCCTAGAATAGCAAGAACAATATTTGCAAAAATTGAAATGATCATCGAAGGCGGATTTATAAAGTCGATATAAATATAACTCAATTAATAAAGTCGTTACTTACCTTTTCCGTGTTGTGCTTCGATGTCCACCCCTAATAAACTGAAGAGAGTTAGAGATAGAGTTTAATACAGGTATAGTGTTGTTCAGAGTCATAATATGCAAAGCAGCATCAGTAAAGAATGGCCAAATGACTAAACTCGATCATTTACATGTCAAGAGAAATGGCATTGCAGCAATTCAAGTAAACCGACAACAATATCATCAGAAATGTGAGATGAAGAAAAATTATGAGCAAAAAGTATGAAACCCAATTAAAGATGAGCATTTAAAATCCTCAACATGTAACTCCATCTTTACCTTAAAGTCTCAAGTATTTCCTTCTAAAATAGCCACACAAACGAAAACGAAATTAAACCTTGTTGTGCTGACTATATAATGAAACAAGAACAAGAACAAGAACTCATCGATCACTTCCTTAATTGAACCCACTTCAGTTTCAAAGAAAATTAATCACCCATGGGAATATGCATATCTATAAATCCGATGCTTAATAGTCAGAGTAATACAATCTGACACCGGTTTGGATGAAACAAGATCAATTCCAAATAGGTTCCATGTGTCATAATAAAACTTTCCACTGTAATTATTCAACCCCAGCCCCTTGAAAAGAATAATACCTATAATAAAATTGAAAGAAACAGACCAAACTACCCAGTCGATGACGATCTACATACAGAACAACAGAAAAACAAAGGGTTAATTCACTGTAATATGAAAATCTATACTCAATGCGCAGCAACATCGCTATTAAACGCATCAATAATCGAGTCTCCACTTAAATCGGCAGTTGGAGTCTGCAAATTAGGGCTCGGGAACCACGTAGACTTAATTCCCGAGAACTTCTTCCTCTTGAGGCATAAGGGACCGTAAACCCTTCCAGACAAAGAAGGGAAATCATCCACGTCAATCTCCGATTGACCGATAGAGGAGAGTGGAGACGACTCCGGAGAAGCAGTACGGCGGAGATAGATCTGAGATAGCGAGTTGTATCGGTACAATCTGGCGCTGATTCGCGAGTCCCGGATCTTCGCCAGGGCACCGGGCTTCAAGTACTTGTGGAATTGCTCCGTGCGATTTGCACGTTGTTTGTGCGAGAATTGAACTCTGCGATTCATGATTCTGAATCGGCGTCGATCACTGGAAGGGGAGTGAGCGAGATCGGAGAACAGTTAGGGTTTAATGGCTGTTGCAGTTCCAGGCCTGAGAGAGAGAGAAGCGGGAACCCAGTGGAGGGAAATTGAGTGTGCGAAACGGCGGCCTCCGTTTTGAATTTGTAGGGCGTGGGTGGGCTGTATTTAGTCACGTGATTTATGATTTTTATCCCTTTTTCTTTTTCTTTTTTCTTTTTTCTTTTTTTACCGTTTTCGTTAGTAAAACAAGGTAAAAGAGCATTTTTTATATTTTTACTCTACCTAAAATTTGACTTTTGATTTTGTAATTTTAAAATATCAAATTTTTGTAATAAATATATTACATTTTGGAATAATTATAATAAATTTTGAATTAGTAATTTTAAAATATCAAATTATTTATATGATAAATTTAATTTATATTCAAATTGATATGCAATGTATATCTACAACTAAACACATGCATGAAAATATGAATACTTTAATTTTGTGAATCACTTGTTTTTAAATTTAGCCTCTTAATTTTTTATAACGTTAATGAAAATTCGTCATCATGTAATTGAGAGCATGCAAATTTTTTAATTCTCATCCAACAACATCTACATCCCGACCCCTTAAATAACTTTTTAAAGTATTTATTTAATGATTTACTTATTTCGTAAGGATGGTTAAACATTTTAAAATAAATGGTATAGTTTTTTAATTTTTGTCATAAATATTCATTTTTATAGGATTCATTCACTATATTTTGCTATCTAGTATTTGTTTATCCAACATTCATCTGAATTTATGTGCCTCAAAATGGTATTAATTTTTTTTCTCTCTCTATTTAACAATTAGCAATTATATATATATATGCAATAGTGCATTTTAAAATAATTAAAAGGAAGTAATAAATAAATAAATACCAAATAAATCCGTTGTTTGCGAGACATTTATTATGCTCATATCCCATATTTTAAAAGGGTGGTTGTATATATATTATGCTAAAATTATGTCATTTATTATGGCCATATACTTCATATTTACTAAAGATATCGTACCTTTTTAAAAAGATTACAAACAATTATATATAATAAAAAAAGATTACGATCTTTTTTATTATTATTATTATTATTATTGACCCAGTTCCACGCAATAATTACAAGTTTTTTTTTTTTTTTTTGTTTCCTTAAATTATCAGTCACGTCCTCATTAATTGTATGCTAGAAACAATATATTATATTTTATTTTAATATTTGAATTTTGTTTTTCAATTACTTTGAACTCAAATTTTAAATCACCCCACATTATTTTCGCTAAATTATAATTAAAGAATAATTATATAAAGTTAATTATTATACTGGTAAATAAGTGTTAAAAGTCGTTGAAATGACCAATATATCCATTCTATTGAATGATCCCACTCATGATAGACCAAGGCTAAAAGTGGTATTATAACATTTTGAAATTATAATTATTATATTTTTTTTAAACAAACAAACGACAAATATCATAAATGTTTTTTTGGAAGGTAAGTGTTAGATGAACACGACTCTCTGTCTTGGTTTGAGTTTCCTAAAATGCCTCATTCTATATATTTTCTTTTCATTTGGATAGTATTTTTTTTCTCCAAAATGCCTCATCTTAATAGAGGGAGTATTTTTTTTTTATTTATAAACCCATAATTATTCCCTATCAAAGGTGGTATTTCCATCTAATATCATTCCAAATTAAAACTAAATTTAAAATTATAATTTTTAGAAGATAAGAATAAAACTAAATTAAAACAGAGACAATTAAAGATGACGAGCGAAGAATAAAGGTTAATTAATTTGGCAAGGATGTTTTCTCACGAAAGATAAAAGGGAGAGGAAAAGCTAATTAGTTTGGCAAAAAGGAAAAGAACGAAGAACACTCAATAATTTGTTGTGAAATATCTTGCAGATTAAGGTAGCTTTACAGTTGAACAGTGCGTTTCTGTTCACATCCTTGCGCTCTGGCCACATTAACTTTTAGTGATTATGATCTATCAAATTTTGGATTTGATTCGCTAATCTGCAAGACTTTATGCCATGTTCTAATTCGTTTCTGTGGATAAAAAATCATTATAATAGGTGTAAGAGAGAAGAGAATATGTACCGATTTCAAACTCAGAATAAGAAGTTCTAATAATTTGATACAAGAAGGGGAAAAACCATACATCGATCTGATAATCCATCTAAAAATGTCACTATGATTACAAAAATTACTTGATATACATCCTATACTGTTCTTCATATACTTTGAACAGAATCGAACACAACAACTTCAAGAACACGACTCGACTTCGAATCACACACAGATATAATAGTTTTGGTGATCAAATAACACACCACAGTAATATTTCAGATTGCGTTGAGAGAGAGAGAGAGATTTTAATGGAGACCTTCAGGAATACATTCCAAAGCCGGCCTCCTGCTTCCATTTTCATCCTCAACTTCATCGGTTATCGCATCTGAAACCGTCGTTCTGCCTTTCACCTTAAATTCAGCAATCAATTCCTCCAACGAACGTGAACTGTTCTCGTTTTCCTTTAATATCTGCTTCAACTCTCTCTGAGACATCACCACTTTAATCCTCAATACTCCGGCTCTGTCTCCATCCCCGCCACTTCCACCAGAATTTTCGTCTTCTTCTTGTAGCTTAAACCTCACTACCTTCTTACCAGCAGCCGCACCGCTTCTCTCCTCTGCCGTCTTCGGCTTCGCCATAGCCGATCCGGCCACCGGTTTCTCCTCTACTTTCTTAGCCTCCACAGGAGGCGAATTAGACAAAGCCAAACAAGATTCATCTTGCGCCATAACTTTATTGCTTTTAAAACAGCTATTCCCCATAGCAACGGAAACCGAATTCTTCACTGAATCTGCGCCTCTGTTCTAGAGATTTCAGAGAGCAAAAACGGACGCAAATGATTTTATAGATTGAGCGAGAGACAGAGAGATGTAGCGTAAAGGCACATGAGAGAGCGTTTGTTGCGCCGCGTTAACTGAGATAAAAAAAAAAAAAACAAAAGATCACAAACGCAACGCCCCCCTTCCTTATATCGTGCACTCCAACGGCCCCCCGAATTTGTACTGTTTGGCTTCTCATTTAATCAAAGTACTTCCTAATCAACTTTTTTAAATAACTCCCCATGTGTTAAGAGCATAATTAAATTCAGTTATTTTATATTTATCACAATCCATTAGGACCACCTGTCTACATACATTACTTCATTTATTTTATTTTAATTTTCTTGTCACAATCATGAAACATTCAAATTGATTAATCACTCCTCAAACTTAATTATTGTAATTAATCTCTTAAACATTACAAAATTCACAAATTAATTACACCTTAATTTATAGGTCAAACCTTATTGTAATTCAATTTTTTTAAAAGATTAATACTGCCATTATGCCTTAAATTTAGCCATGATTTTACAACTGTTTTTTTATTTAATTTAATTAAATAACACATAAAACTTTGATATATATATATATATATATATATATATATATATATATATATATATATATATATATATATATATATTTTGTTATAGAATATGAAAAATGTGATGGGTACATTACATTGTGAGGCTCATGACTGAAGAATATAAATAATTGCCACAGACTCCAAACAACCAGAAAATATGGTGTGAATGTGAACTCTAATACAGCAGGACACCACCCTGCTCTTCTGTTTGGGCCCTATTGGCCCACTTAAATTATCATAACTTTTATTTATTATTATTATTATTTAATTTAGGTATTAATAAATTTGTAAATATTCTAAATTTTAATTTTATAGATAATAAGTTTCTACCAATTTTATGATTACCTTTATTTAATTTTAAATTTACTTCATCCATAAATTTTTTTAAAAATTTAGAATTTGATGCGGTATACACAAAATAATTTAAGTTTATTATTAGCCAAATTAATTACATTATCATATTAATAATTTTTATATAAAATTTAATACTCGTGAGGAGGAGATAAGCTCGAGTAAATATTTTTTATTTAATCGACAATAAAATAAAAAACATGTGTATAACTTATATGTTAGACTTACAAAACATGTTCTTAAACATAAATTGAGGTAAGCTGTGTAATTATAAGATGTTATTATTCTTTTGGTTTAAAATAGGATAGATGATTTCAATAGCTATATTCATTTTTTAAATATCATAAAAATTATATGTTGTTATAAATTAAAATTAATTTTATTTAATATATTGTTATATAAATTAATTAGTTAATTCAATTGGATTAAAAATATATATTTTTACATTGAAACATTGATTATAACTAATATTAAAAAATTAATAATTTAATTTTATTACAAAAAATAACTAAATAAGCCTGATTAAAATATTAATAATGTAAGTAATTTTATAATAAAAATTATATTAGATAGTTAAGATCATATAAAATATTAATTATGAATATATTAGTTAAAATCTAGTACGTTTAAATAATATATTGATATTACCGAATAATTAAAAATAATTAGCAGTTTAATTAAATTATTTTTTGAACCATAAATTTTAAATTTTATAAATTATAATTTAATTTTCAAGAGTGATTTTAAAAATAAGTTTGAGTTTTCAAAATTTTTATTAATAATTTCCTTAAATATTTTTAAAAACCTAAAATACACCTCTAAACTTTTGTTAAATTCAAAAATATTTTTATTATTAGTATCTTATTTCAAACGTACACATAAACTTTCTAAAGTAATGTATAATCTATGAGATGTCGATAGACAAATTTTTTTTACGACGGTGGTGATAACTATTTTTTTAATTTTGTTTTATAACGATAAAAAGTTTTAATGTTATATTTAAATTTTATTTAGTATTTTTTAAATATAATTTTAACTCTAAATATGTTTTTGAACCTTTTAAAAAGTTAGAAGAATATTAATAAAATAATATTTTTTTTTAATCAAAATAATAATGGTTTACATCTAAAAAGTAATGGTAAATATGTTTTTAAAATTTTAAAAAAGTATTATTATTATTTTCAGATAAATTACAAATTTAGAATTATTTTTATTAATAGGCAGATAACGATAATTTAGCGGTGGCAGCCTCCCCCACGCATACTCCTAACCCCGTCAGCCGCCGGGAACTCCTTTTGCTTAATTTACAAAAATACCCCTTTTCCTCTAAGTCAAAGTAATGGTATTTTGTTAATTAATTCCAACTCCTTGCCTTAATAATCAAGCTGTCACATGAATGTGAACGCCTCGTTTCTCTAAAGATAGCTTTCTAAAGCCGTCGTCGCCTAAATACACAATTAATATATTGCTTTATCTAATTAACATATTTTTAACAAAAATAAATAAATAAATAAATAACGAGATTATTATTTTTAAATAAATAAATAAAAGCAGCGACCTCAAGTCGGCTCAGTAGACAGAATGAAATACATTAAAAAAAATATTTATATTCGTTGTTTTTGTCACGCCCTCTAAATTAATTAAAATTTTATGTTATTTTCATATGCTATAATTTAGTCATCAATTATTTTAATAAAATACCTATTTTTTAATAGTATACACTTTTTTTTTTTAATTTTAAAACTTTATTATATAATTTGGTTATGCGTATTCGGAGAAATTGTGGAAAAGTTTCTGATAAACTTTTGAGAAATTAAAGCTTGTTTGGTTGCTCCGACATTTTCGAATTATATATGTTATTTTGTCGTATAGTGTAATTAATAATTAATATAAGTTTAATAAGTGTTGTATTTAGAGTTGTATTATTGACTGCAGTTTGAATCCAGCTTATGCTTATAAGATAGCCACGTCTTCTACTTGGATATGATTGGTTTCTCATGACCCCATTTAAATAAGTAAAGCTATTCAAATAATTTTTTTTTTTTTAAAGTGCTTTTGGACTATAAAAATTAAAGTGTCTATTTAATTTTTGAAATTAAAAAAAAAACACATTTCACCGTTATTTTAATTTTATTCAATATTGCTAATTATATAATGTTTGTGTGTTCAGATTATACGGTTCTGAATGGGTGGAGAAAAAATTTTCTTTATCAGTTAATTGGGAATGGAGACGGGGGCATGAATTATATTTTCTATTTCTGTCTTCGCCAATTTCTCATCCTATCCCGCACACTTTTATATATATATAACGTGAAAAGACTATGTTGTAATATTAAAATTTGAATTTCTAGACATTATATAAACCTCGTATATGTTTATTTATGAAATACTATTAAATTTATTAGAATGATTTACATTTTTAGTATAAATTATATTGAAAAATAGAAGATTATCTATTATTTGTAATAAAATATAAAAAAAAATGAAAAATCGTGAATTTTCATGGACAATTCTCACTTATCATCAAATAAATAAATGAAAATTTTAGCAATATAAACGATATTTTAAATTAATAAATCTATCCCACTTTGAATTATTCTAATTATTTAGTTTATGAAAATAATAATAAATGAGCTATCTAAAAATATCCTTCATCTATAATTTTTCATCTTATAATATGAATTTATTTTGATTATTGTTTCAAGTTTTGCATAAACAAAATATTATAATATCAAACATTAATTTTTTTAATAATTAAACAAAGATATATTAAACTCACGTGCTATCACATATCTTAATTTATATTTACTTAATGTTTGGATATTACATTAACAAACAGTGGTAAAATACTCAACACGAATTTAAAATTAGATTAAATAATTAATTAAAAAAAAAGGTAAGATTAAGGACCAAAATAAATTTTCATACAAAGTTGAAATAAAGTAGCAGTTTTCCAAACAAAAAGTTGAAACAACGTAATTGTGATGTTCGACATTAGTTGGGAAGGAGAACAAAACACCTTTTATAAGGTAAGATTAATCTTCCCCTAACGGACACGTTTTAGAGCCCGAAGAGAAAGTCCGAAAGGAAAAGTCCAAAGAGGACAATATCTATTAGCAGTGGATTCGTTACAAATGGTACTAGAGTAAGGACGATAGGCTCCAAAGAAGGCGGGTCGTAATATATTACTATTAAAATGTTTAATGAGAGTACTGGTTACAATTGAATCTAATTTATTATCATTATTATTTTTATCTTTTATTTTCTTAAATCCACTTTTTTCGCACAAAAGGAGGCGACGATAGTTTGTTTCACTCGCCGGCCGCCGCTTCCTTGATAACCAACGACCATGGCGCGTAGTCGTACTCGCGTTCATTTCCCGCCAAAATTAAGGAATTTTGGGGTCCATTTAATCTCCATTGATTTTAATTTCTCGGATTTTATTTCACATCACGCATTGTACAAAGCTGTTCTCTCCTCCATTCGTTCGATCACTCTTCAGTTCTTTCTCTGTGCGTCTGCCCAATTCTAGAAAACCACCATGAGAGCTCTGAGAAACGCCGTCGTCACTCACAAGAAGCGCAACGCAGAGTAATCGCCTCATTCACTCTGATTGTGATCTTCTTGTTTTTGCTTTTCATCTTGAATAAGTTTTACATTCTATGTTTCGATTTTCCACGTAAGTTTTTAGTTTCTGTTCAATCTTCACCTGTACGATCAGTGTCCCTGTTTATCTTCAACAGCGTTTCTATGCTCTTTATCTCTGCATTTTTTGTGTTCTTTTGCTTTCTAGGTACTGTACATCCAATTATCTGACTAATTTGTTTTTCAATTCTTTTGTATTGTTTCGCCTATTCGTTCATTCCTTATTGAGTTGAATTTCACAGTCTACGTTGTCTTCTTATCAGTTTTATTAGTTTTGCTTCCATACACAATGGCTTCTTCATTTCTCTGAATACCTGAACTATTCTATTGACATCATTTCATTTTTATGTGTTTTAGATCCTCTATTTTCCCTCGTTTTGGCTGTTACATTAGATTGAGTGTACTCCTAAAAAGTCTTTATCCAATTTGCCATCTCCCTTTTTTTTTTTTTTTTTTTTTTTTAT